TCTATCTATCTATCTATCTATCTATCTATCTATCTATCTATCTATCTATCTATCTATCTATCTATCTATCTATCTATCTATCTATCTATCTATCTATCTGTGATTTTTGTTATGATTTTAGTTTTTAAAAAAAAGCCATTCTGGCATTTGTGGTCATAAAGAAACAAGATCAGCAGCCTGCATCCTATGTGCAACCTTCATTTATTCTCTTTAATTGCAGTGCTTCTCTGGCTTCTGCTTGCCCTTTTTTGGCACCTACCCGTTGATAACTGTTCAGGGACGTAGTATAAATGATTCATGTCTGTCATATGACAAATAAGCCGATCATAGTCATTTGGCATGGATGAAAAGCAGAGGGATGAACAGACAAGAGACACATGAAAGAATGGATGTCTGGGTGAGACTCGGTTCGATACTGCTCAACAAAAGGATTTCACATGAGGCTGAGGCTTCCTCAGGCATCCCGCACTCTTTGTTCATTTTGCCAAGTTAACTCACACAAGTCGACAACCTGCCGACATTGCCAGAGAAGGATGATAACAGCTGTAGTTCCAGACAGACAACCCTCTACTGTTTCCTCAAATCTGCAGGCCTCAGTGTGGTTACTCCAGCACTGGCGACACATAGAAAATACCCCCCAAAAGCCAAGAGATAATTTGTTTTTACCTTCTCTTCCATCACCTGAGGCAGGTGAGAAGACGTTCCCAATGGCACATCAATCCATGCATTTAGATTAGGTATTTAGATTCTGTCAGACATTCTGATGTGAAAATAACATTGTTTAATGGATCAATGCAGCCAGGAATTCAGGGTAAATATTCCATACATAATCTGCCAGTCAAAGGTTTGGACACACCTTCTCATTTAATGTTTTTTCTTTATTTTTAATACTTTCTACATTGTAGAGACATACTGAAGACATTATGAAGCAAGATATATGGAATTATGGAGTTAGCAATGAAAAAATTGATAAATAACTCTAAATATGTTTTATATTTTAGATTCCTCAAAGCAGCCACCCTTTGCTTTGTTGACAGTGCTGCAAACCGTTGGTCTTCTCTCAATGAGCTTCATGATCAAGTCACTTGAAATGGTTTTCACTTCACAGTTGTGCCTTGTCCAGGTTCATTTGTGGAATTTCTTGCCTTCTTAATGGGACTGGGACCCTCAGTTGTGTTGTGCAGGTCAGGTTGGTACACAGCTGACAGCCCTATTTGACAACTGTTAGAATTCCTATTATGGCAAGAACCAATCAGCTAAGTAAAGAGAAACAAGAGTCCATCATTATTTTAATAACTGAAAGTCAGCAAGTCCAGAAAACTGCTAAAACTTTGAATGTGTTCCCAAGTGCAGTTGCCAAAACCATCAAGCGCTACAATGAAAGTGGCTCACATGAGAACCGCCCCAGGAAAGGAAGACCAAGAGTCCCCTCTGCTGCTGAGGATAAATTCATCCGAGTCACCAGCCTCAGAAATCACAAGTTAACAGCGCCGCAGACTAGAGGCCAGATAAATGCCACACAGAGTTCCAGTAACAGACACATCTCTACTGTTCAGAGGAGACTGCGTGAATCAGGCCCATTGTTATAGGTACATAGCTGCTAAGAAAACCACCACATAAAGAAAAATTAGCCAACAAGCAAGAAGAGATTTGCATTTGGGAAAGAAAGCCGAAATCAAGACGATCTGCAGACCATGGATCTCACTGAGCCAACATGTGCAAATGTTTTCTATGTGCTGCATGTTAGAATCATTTCTAAGGAATCGCTCCAGCATGGACCACGAGGCCACAGCCATGATGAAAGCCCAGTTCATGAGCCTATGGGATGGCCTGGACACCTCATCAACCACCCAGGTAACACAACCAGAATGCTTTCTTATACTGTAATGCAATTGCCAGAAAACATTGCAATGCAGCAGGTAGTTCCTGTGAAATAATGTATTAAAACTGTGATTCTCAAAATTTAGGTTATGGTGATGGGAGCCACGAACAGGCCGCAGGACCTGGATCCAGCCATTCTCCGCAGGATGCCCACAACTTTTCATATCGGCTTGCCAGTAAGATGTGTGCAAATACACAAGGAGGCTTTATTCTGTCTACAGTTGTGTCCATATATTTCTGGTCACTGACAGTTTTTACCCCTCAACCATAAAAGGCTGATAGGGGATTATTGTCACCCCAACAGGGTGGACACAGTTTGTGAGTGCAATAATTTCTGAATAAGGCAATGTAGGGTTTTGAAATTCACTGACAGTTTTATCTATCCCTCATAATCACATCCATAAATATCTAATGTGACTTACTAGGAAAGTATATATAACTTAAGCTAATCATTATGTGCTATCCTAACTATCTACCTAACAAGTCTAGTTAAGTACAGCCTCAGAGTGTAACACCCATATGTCTTAGTCGAGTGATTGCTAATACAAATTATTCTATCCTATGTAATACATAATAGGCATATCATATCAGCTATTAGCTATTTATTATCTATCTATCTATCTATCTATTCAGTTATATACCAAAATAACAGTAGTGACAAGATTAAAAAGACAAATAATAATAGTGTAACCGAATAAAAGATTTAGGTATATTAACTGACATGTGAAAGTTTGACACAGTGTCTTATTAAAGGGAAGTTTTCCAGAGATGGTTAGCAGAACGACTGTAAGTTACTGTCATGGAGTGAAAGTTTGAAAATGGTAACATAAGCTGATTTCTGTCACCCGGAGACACAGATCGCAGATACAGCGCTATCACATGAGATGGATTTTCAACACTTTTTTTCTTTCCGTAAACGCAGACTTATAATGTGTTATCACCTGTCATCGGTGACAGGCTGTTGGGCCTGATTATCTCTTTCTAAAATGACATGCAGCGGCAGTGTTTGTGGAGACCTCCGGGAGAATGTCACGCCTGCACGGGAATTACAAAGGGCAACATGCAACACTTTATACAAAACACACTGAACTTGTTTGGGTATTATTTTATGTCAATTTGAATTAACGCCTGTGTCAAATGTTTGCACATATATGTGCTAAACAGGGCTCTGTACACTGTGCACACTGTAGTTTGGTGGGATACGTCTTTATTGTTGAGGTGCTGAATACTTTTCTGTGCTTCAGTACTGCTGTCATACTGACTTGACGACTAATTTAACAATGACATAAAACCTGACAGTCATAAACTTAACTTCACTTTTATTTATTATATATTCCTCTTCTTCCTTTGCCTCTGACATTTGTGATATTTTCACCTGAACATCCTGAGAAGGAATAAAGGCTACAGTTCAGGAAGAGAAGTTCAGACTGATTTATCATAGTGAACTGAAATCCAGTTTAAAGGGGGTGGGGGGTTGATTAGCAAATGTTCCCAGAAAACCTCACCACTTCAACAAGATGACATCCTCACAGGAGAAGCTGGACCTGCTGGGTCCATAATCTCCACGTGACATAAAGTGGTGTGAACGCAGGAGATGAAATTGAAATGAGCACCTCAAATTCCTCAGGAAAACTCTAATAAGAAACACCCCAGGGAAGTTAGATAGTGGGGGCTGGTGTCTGCGTACGTGTGCAAACGGTGGCAGCCCTTATGTGGGCTTCGAAAAAGCACAGAAGTGGCAAAGCTACTCTGACAAGGAGGACGTTTAAGTTCAGAGCATGTGAGACTTGTCCCGTCGAGTGAAAACAATTGGCCAGCCCCAGCTCCAATTCATCAAAGTGACAGCACTTGGCCACGTGGAAATGAATGAATAAATAAAGGAGAATGCATTCAGTGTGCAGATAAAGAGTAGCCTGCTGGGTAGACACTGCCAGAGAGGACTGTCAGTATATATACCATTCAGCCCTTGTTGGCAAAATGACATCCTCCAAGAATGAAACACTTGCATGAGGTTTCCTGCTCCCTGCTACACATGACATGCAAATGATTTGTGACAGTGGGAATAAAATTTAATCTCTACAATTCCCGTTTTGCTGTTCTTTCGCTGATACCGTAACCCCTGCAGCATGGCTGCTGCTTGTTGTCATGTGGAGTAGTTGACCTCGGAAACTCAAGCATCAGCATCCTCTCCTTGACTTTGACTATTAAAAAAAAGGGGTTACCTCACCCTATGTCTCCTGCTCTTGAGCTATGACCTGCCACATATCCATTATTGATTATCACTTTCTGTTACTGCAGAGTTTCCACGGTTACCTATAGGCTTCTGTGATGCAATATGAAGCTCCCTTTGTGTGCAAGTCAAAAGAAATAGGAGTGTCTTTGAAGGGGGAGTAGAAACACAGGGTTCTCCTCACAGGATTCCTTGTCTCTTCCATCTTCAGGGTAAAAAAAAAGTTCTGGAAATAAGTAAAAAAACCAATCATATAGTGTTAGCATACTGCAGCATTTCAGGAAATATGCGTAATTTTTCTTGTTTATGGTTAGATAAGAAAATAGTTTTCATAGCTTTAGGCTAAATCTCAAAGTATAGGCAGCAGACTCTCAGCACATGTGCCAGCATTACTTAGGACGTTCTGCTCAGTACGCTGCGTTCAGGTGTGTGGCCGCTGTAGCGTACTGATGCCAGGATGCATCACGGTATCAATCTTCTCTGCTAACACTTTCCCATTTTCCCCATATTGCCAAACTATCCCCTTGTATAAGTATGAATGAAAACTCCATTTTGCAACAGAGGCCTGAGAACGTTTCTTCTGTGTCATTTGTCACTCAAAGCCACTTTAAATGCATCACTCAGTTCGAACTTTTTATGGGATTTCTTGGATCAATCCATCATCGCTCGAACAAAACAGATTTGAACAGCACAAGCAACTTTTTCCCCTCCTCCCCCCACCCTTGTGCGGACAAAAAGGCTCTTATTTTCACAATGAGCTGGGCTCCCTCAGCTGTGGCATATCATTCTGAGTGACACCTTCATCATAAATTACATACAGGCAGCACGATGGCACCCAACTTTACCCTGGGGTAAGCAGTGGGTGGTGCGCGAGTTGTGGGGGGAGTCTTGTGTTGCTTGGCTGCACAGGGAACAATATTGATTAACACTCATGTTTCTTTTGAATCAATCTCCATCACCTATCGGCCATCTTCTCCATTATATTTCATCTGGGGGAAGACGGATGGTGGAGATGGGTGGATGTGTGCAGGGAGCCTATCTGTTGCACTGCAGAGATTCCATCAGCAGATTTAGTGTTGTCTCCATCACCACCAGAATTGCCTAATGGAAGGCGGGCACATCACTGTCACTACCTGCATCCCCCCCCCACACACACACTTCCATCTTCCCCATTCTCACCCCCCCCCCTTAACCTCCACCCTTGGGGATCCAGAGGCAACATTTACTTTGGCTGATTAAAACTCCTGCCACATAGGACCTGGAGGCACAGCGAGACGCCCTCCCTGACAGGTGGATGTGTGGTTTTTGTCTCTAAATGTACCCAAAAACAATACATGTGTTACTCTCTGCATGTATATTTGAAGTGAAGGAATAATTTCTAGCTTGCTGTTGCTGTCTCCGTGAAGCACAAATAAAGTGGCTGGTGTGGATGCTTCGCCATTCATTTTTTAGTTGATGCATCAATTCTTACCCCAGGCAGATCCGAAATAATGGAACATTTTTCACGTCAATCAAAGTCCAAAGATAATGAATATCCTTCCATATTTCTTTATTTATTATTTGACACGATATTAAATCAGAAGCCATATTTTGTACCCCCCACCGTCCGACCCCCGCTAACCCCCACCCGAGACCACCGCCACATGGCATATTTATCCTCAAAAACAATCTAAGTTTTGATTGTTCCCCGATAAGCCCTGAGCTGCTGGATGGAGCCTCTGCATGGAGCGGATCTCACTCAGCTGGTGTCAGCCAGATTTATTTTTCCTCCCAGCACTGGAGCTTGGTTGGCGCTCAGCTCAGCCCAAACCCCCTGGCACTCTAACCAATCTATCAAGTCCATCAGTGTTTCATGTAGCCTAGGGGACACTGGCTGGCAGCCCAAATGAGCTCACTCTTCCTCTTCCTGCTCTTGCCATTGCCTGCTCTCCCTGCTAAACATATCTGAGCTGTAGATGCCTGCTTAACTGCTGGCTGTCTGGATTTTACTCCTTGGCTTGGTTGTGACAGCACCGAGTAAAGTTTACCAACCGCAACACTGCCCTCTTTTAAAAATAGAATGGAAATAGGTAAGGCTCCCTTTCTTGGTGATTACACCTAGTGCATGCACAGTTGTGGATATTGGTCGCATATTAAATCTTTTTGTCTCAATGTGTCCATGTTGCCCTTTTAAGAGAAAATAAGGCCAATGAGAGAGAAATGCAAATGACTGAAATTGTTTTTATAAAAAAATTTTAAACTCTGTTTTGCTTCTTAACAAATTCTGGTGGCTGTTGAACTGCTATATATTTTTGCTACAGTGTAAGCTCACCAGCTAGCTGCTAACCCTGCCCTGAGGTGCAAAACACAACAGCATTTCACAAAACACAACAGTTCACTCCAATGTGATGTCGCTACCAGCCACTCATCAACAATAGCTCTTTCAAATTATTCCCCACTCTCCTGGTATTTTTGAGGCTGCACTATTGTGGAAAATTAAATTGTAGGATTGACTCTAAAAAAATAAATAAAACCCAAAACAATAAGCATGGTGCACTCCACTTCACTGAGAAATATTCTGTGTTGTGTACTAAAATAACCTTGTAGCTAGAATTGCTTTCAAAAGGCATCCAGCAAGGCGTCATGTGCATTTGGCTTTGTTGAGGAATATGGGCCGATGTGAACACATTGACTTGCCAGCTGAAAATTGTGTGTCGTAACTTTTTGTGTGGCTGTGAATTACCTGGAGTCTAAATGTATTATTTAGCAAAACCAAGTTGTTTATTGTTACTTCTTGTGCGTCATCTGTGTATCCATATTAGGATCGCAGGGGTCTATCCCAACTGCCATATGGCAAGAGGCAGAGTACCCTGCTAACACAGAGATAGACAAGCATTTACACTCATAAGAAATGGCCAAGAATCACCACTTAACCTAACCACATATCTTTGGACACGTGCATGGGGA